CCCTGAGAGTCTGAAAGGAAAGCGTGTCCCTATTCCCTTGGGCGAGTAGGTAGGTGAGTTTTGCAGCTGGACTATGAGCACCCCACTCTGTTGGCTGTAAAGAATCTAGGGCACAACTTATTCTTGGACTCCTGTAGCAGGTGACTAGGTGGCGTAGGTGAAGCCACCAGTCCTCAAGCCCCTGGTGAGGATCGGTAAATGTGCCTGCTTCAAATGCAGGGCTCTGTCAAGGGTCACAAACATGCCACTTCACAGCTGAAACAGTGGAAGTTAGACTTCAGATGTGTACCCTGTCATACTGTAGTAGTGAGGGATAACGCTGTTGAGATGGGTCTCCACAAGTCTATACAGGGGTGTGAGGCACTCATAGTCTGCGGACCCCTTATGCCTGTGCCTAGCAAAGGAGCTGTGCTGACCCTGAGTTCCTGGCTTAGGGGAGCCAGTAGCTTATTTGTTCTCTCTCCAAGACCAGGAGAAATGGTCAGGCCACCTTTTGGGATCTACTTCTGGCCCAGGGGAGTCAGACTTTGGAAGGCCAGACCATTGTAGAGCAGGAAGGGGGGAGGTAAAAGGGAGAGAGGTTTTTCCCAAACGGGCTTTTTTAAAAAAAAAAATCCCCACGAAAGGCCACATGCATGTACATATCTTTATCCATTTGGGAGCTGCTTTTCACTGGTTCACAGTGTCTAAGCAGAATCTCTGCTGACGGATCTCTCTCAGTGTGGAAACGGCCTCCTGAGCGCGCACGCGCAGCTGTTTGCCTGCTTCACTGCGTACCTTGGAGCCAGTCAGGGCTGAAGAGCTGCAGCTGAGTCTGCTCCAGTCTGGCACTTCTCGCTTCTTCAGAACCGTCTCCCTCTCCCCCTGCCACTCAGTCCAATTCCTCAACTTTGCCTTGTTCGGGGCTCCTAGATATTCATATACAGTCAAATCACTTGTTTTTCCAGGTCTTTGTTGTAAGAGAGTTTTAGGAAGCCGTCTGACTACTCCGTCATCTTTTTTTGGTCTCTCCCTGAAGACCCTTTTGCAGAGTTGATGATGATAATTATATGAACAAGACAAGAGCAACAGCAGTAGCGATAGTTGTAGCTAGAAAAATCTATTCCTTCCTTCTTGCCTCCTTCCCTCCCTTCATACCTCCCCCTTCTTCCTCCCTTCCATCCCTCCCTCCCTTCTTCCTTCCTCCCTCCCTCCCTACTTCCTCCCTTCTTCCTTCCTTCCATCCCTCCTACCCTTCCTTCTTTCCTTCCTTCCCTCCCTTCATCCCTTCCTCCCTTCCTCCTTCCTTCCCTCCCTCTCCTCTTCTGTCCCTCCCTCTTTCCCTTCTTCCCTCCTTCCTTCCTCCCTTCTTCCTTCCTCCTTCCTGCCTCCCTTCCTCCTTGCTTCCTTCCCTCCTTCCTCCATCTCTCCCTCCATCCCTCCCTTCCTCTCTCCTTCTTTCCTTTCTCCCTTCCTCCCTCCCTCCCTCCTTCATTCCTTCCCTCCCTTCCTCCATCCCTTCCCCCTCTCTCCCTTCCTCCCTCCTTCTTTCTCCCCTTCCTTTCTCCTTTCTTTCCCCTCTCCCTCCTTTCTTCCCTCTCTTCCTCCCTTCCACCAAATAGCTACCTGCCAGGCTTTGTGCTGGGTGTGGATATGCAGAGATAAACAAGACATACAAGGTCCAAATTCCCATGCAACTCATTGTCTAGTAGGAGGAGACAGATAATTTTCAAGTAAACAACAGCTGAACAAGATAATTTGTGATAGTGATGTTGTTGTTAGCTACCACTGAGTCTGCTCCGACTCATGGTGCCCTCATGAACAACAGAATGAAATATTGACCGGTCCTGCATCATCCTCACAATCACCGGAATGTTTGAGTCCATCATTGCTGCTACTGTACCATTTCACCTCTCTGAGGGCCTTTCTTGACCTGGCTGGCCATCTACCTCACCAAACATGATATCCTCCTCCAGCAATTGTCCCTCCTGATGATGTGTTCAAAAAACAAATGAGTCGGACAATGTTCTGTTGTGATCCATAAGATTTTCAGTAGCTAATTTTCAGAAGTAGATCACCAGGCCTTAGTCTGGAAGCTCCCCTGTCCACCATGAGTGACTCTGCTGGTATTTGAAATACTGGTGGCATAGCTTTCAACATCACAGCAGCATGCAATCCACTGTAGTATGACAAACAGACAGACAGATGGTGGATGACAGTGATTGGTTGCTAGTTGCTGTTGAGTTGATTCTGACTCATGGCGACCCCATGTGTGCAGAGTAGATAGATGCTATTAAAAAAAAGCAGTGAACCCTGATAAAGAGCCACTAGGGGTGCGGATAAGATAGTTTAGCTAGGGATAGTCAGGAGTGGTTTCTCAGAGAAGGTGACATTTGAGTTGAGACTTGAATGACAAGGGTTGTCAGTGGAGAGTTTTGGATAGAGGGAAAAGGGTTTACAATGGCTTTGGTTTGAGAATGAGCTTAATCTATGACGCTGGGTAAATATTTCAGATACATAACCACTATGGAAAATGGTATGGTGCTTCCTTAAAAAGCTAGAAATAGAAATATCATATGATCCAGCAATCTCACTCCTAGGTATATACCCTAAAGACATAAGAGCCATGCCATGAATAGACACGCACACCCATGTTCATTGCAGCATTATTCACAATAACAAAAAGATGGAAACAACCTAAGTGCCCATCAACAGATAAATGGATAAACTATGGTACATACACATAATGGAATACTATGCAACTATAAAGAATAACAACGAGTCTGCAAAACATCTCACAACATGGATGAATTTGGAGGACATTGTGCTGAGTGAAGCAAGTCAATTAAAAAAGGACAAATATTGTATTAGACCACTATTGAAAAAACACAAGACAAGGTTTACACACAGAAAAAAAAATTATTTGATGGTTACCAGGGATGGGAGGGGGAGGGAGGGAAGATTACTAGCTAGATAGAAGACATGTGCTAATACTGGTGAAGGGAAAAACAATACACAATATGGGAGAAGTCAGCACAACATGACCAAGGCAAAGGAAGACACTGAGGGGAACGCAAGAATAAAGGGCAACTACGGTAATTACTATAACACAGACAATCCTGCAACAACAGTATTAACAAACAATAATTTACAAATGGATACATGGTAAATGGATATGCTAAAGAGGTGTGGGAGTGTGTAAGGGAGCATACCCACCTGCAGATTACAGGTTTAGTTGTGGTTATTTCTACATTCGTAATTGTAGGTGCTGCACATGTATACAATAGAGCACACAAGGGCACAGTCATGGAAGCTTTTTAGACATAACCAAACATTTCATGGGACAAAGTTCCTAGGCTCGAAGGCAAATGACCATAGACTCGGAGGACATCTATGTCAATTGGTACAACATAGTTCGTAAAGACAGTGTTCTGCATCCTACTTTGGTGAGTAGTGTCTGGGGTCTTCAAAGCTTGTGAGCAGCCATCTAAGATACAACTATTGGTCTCTTCGCATATGGAGCAAAGGAGAGTGAATAAAACCAAAGACTCAGGGAGCAGTTAGTATAAAAGACAAATGGACCACAGGAACCACAGCCTACATGACTCCAAGGCCAGCAGAACTAGATGGTGCCCAGCTACCACTACTGACTGCTCTGACTGGAATCACAACAGAGGGTCCTGGACAGAGTAGGGGAGAAATGTAGAACAAAAAATCAAATTCACAAAAAGACCAGACTTACTGGTCTGACAGATTGGAGGAACCCCTGAGACTATGGCCCCAAGACACCCTTCTGACCTGGAATTGAAGCAATTCCGAGAGACCACCTTCCAGCCAAACAATAGACAGGCCTGTAAAATAAACAATAACACCTGAGAGAAATGTGTTTCTTAGAACAATCAGTTATACGAGCTCAAAAGGACAACATTTGCCCAAAAGCAAAGATGAGAAGGCAGGAAAGGGTAGAAAATCCAGACGAGAGGAAACGGGAAACCCAAGGGCAGAAATTGGGAAGAGTGCTGACACATTGTGGGGAATGAAACCAATGTCATGGAACATTTTATGTACAAACTATCGAATGGGAAATTAATTGCTCTGTAAACTTTCACCTAAAGCACAATTTAAAAAAAAATTCAGATAGATTTGCCCAGGAAGATCTGAAAGAGGATGCACTGTGACCCAAAAGAAACCGAAATGAGACCAGTCCCATCCTGAGAATTTTTTTAACTCATATTTTTTATTATTATTTTTAAAGTGTTGTTTTAGGTACTGTCAAATCAGTTCCAACTTCTAGCCCCCTATGTACAACAGAACAAAACACTGCCCGGTCCTGCACCATCCTCACAATTGTTGTTATGCTTGAGCCCATTGTTGCAGCCACTGTGTCAATCCATATCATTGAGGGTCTTCCTCTTTTTTGCTGACCCTCTGCTTTACCAAGCATGATGTCCTTCTCTAGGGACTGGTCCCTCCTAATAACATGGGATGAAGCCCATGGGATGAAGTCTCACCATCCTCCCTTCTAAGGAGAATTCTGGCTGTACTTCTTCCAAAATGGATTTGTTCGTTCTTTTGGCAGTCCATGGTATATTCAATATTCTTCGCCAACACCACAATTCGAACGTGTCAATTCTTCTTTGATCTTCCTTATTCATCGTCCAGTTTTGCATGCGTTATCAGGCGATTGAAAACACCATGGCTTGGGTGAGGTGCACCTTGGTCTTCAAGGTGACATCTTTGCTTTTCTAACACTTTAAAGGGGTCTTTTGTAGCAGATTTGCCCAATGCAATGTGTCATTTGATCCCATATAGATAGTTCTTAAAAGAACACAATGCTCAAGGCAGACATTCTTCCCTAATTAAGTTAAACTATTGTTTGGTTTGAGGAAGACTTTAGGTGATAATTTCATCTGAGTCTTACCTCCCAATATTTTCCTCTGTTAGTGATTCTGTTGGGGCATGAATAACTGTAGGGTCATATCTTTGGGTCAAATGCTGACTCTTCCTGTTTCTCTCCACAGATGCTGGCTGAATACAGAGACGGGGTTCATCTGGAGTTTCTTGGGGCCAGTTTGTACAGTCATAATGGTAAGCAAATTGCTTGTTGAAATGAATTCTGGAGGAGGACCAAGGAGACCCAAGGGATCAGGGAGTGCCAGAGGGAGGTACATAGCTGAGATTGTCACTTATCCCCTTCAAAAGTTCTCCTTCTGATTTTTGATTCTTGAGTTTTCCAAGCTGGAATGCAATTTCTTTGACTTGTGATTTTTTCTTTTCTTGCCAAAACGCATACTACTGGGAGGAACCCTGTTCTTATCTGTCTTTGTATTTCCATAAGAATGGATCTGTCAGTCTCTCCTAGGTACAGAAGCTGAATGAGAGAAAAAGTAGAAAGAAATTGTTGTTGGGTGCTGTTGCGTTGATTCCAACTCATACTGACCCCACGTGACAGAGTAGAACTGCCCCATAAGGTTTTCTAGGCTGTAATTTTTATGAAAGCAGATTGCCAGGTCTTTCTCCCATGTAGCCACTGGGTGGGTTCCAACCGAAGACCTCTCGCCAACTCCTTCTCTTCTCTAGTCTCTCCTCTTCCCTCCCAGTCTGTCCTCTCCCCTCCCCTGCCCTCCTCTCCCTTCCCCTTCTGTCCTCTCTCCTCCCCCCTCCCCTCCCTTTCTCTTCTCTCCCCTCCCCTCCCCTTCTTTCCTCTCCCCTCCCTTTCCTCACCTTCTCTCCTCTCCCCTCCCTTCCCTCCCCTTCTCTTCCCTCCCCTTCCCTTTTCTTCTCTTCTCTCCTCTTCCCTCCCTCTGTACTCTCCCCTTCCCTCCCCTCTCCTCCTCTCTCCTCACTCCCCCCTCTCCCCTCCCCTCCCCTTCTCTCCTCCCCTCCTCTCTCCTCCCCTCCTCTTTTCTCTTCTCCCCTCCCCTTTTCTCCCCTCTCCTCCCCTCCCCTCCCCTCTTTTATCCTCCTCTCCCCTCTCCTTCTCCTCTTTCCTCTCCTCTCCCCTCCCCTTGTCTCCTCTCTCCTCCCCCCTCCTTTCCTCTGCTCTCCTTCTCACTTCTTTTCTCTTTTTTCTTCACTAGGATCCAAAGGCCAGGCAAAAAGTTACCTTGTTCCCTTCCTTTGCCAGGATTTTTTTCTAGCCCACCCTTCTACTGAGTGGGTGGTCCTAGTTTTATTTGGTGGTCTCCCTACCTTATGTGGAACCAGGGGCTTGTGCCCACCTCTATGAGTGACCCTTAAATCCCCAAGGCTGTAGTCTTGATTTCAGAAACCCCTTCCCCACCACAGCCTCTGGAGAGTTCTGGCTCCTGACTCTGGCTTCACTGTTACCCTCATTTTTGTCCTCTGGAGGCTTCCTTTACTTTCTCACAAGCTCAGCTATCAATTCAAGATGATGTCTGTTGGACTTCATCCACCATTTTAGGGGTTTTGTAGTGGGAGTGTTTTTCAGAGTGATATTCCAAAGCTCAGAGCTGGCTTTCATGCCCATTTGCTGGGTTTCTCCATTGCTCTCAGGGTGAAGCCCTTTGTCTGGCAGCCAAGGTCCTTCACTACCTGGCCCTACCAACTCCTCTGGTTTCCACCTCTACCCCTTCCCCACATGCCCAGAGCTCCTGCCATGCCCATGAGCTTCCTGCTCCCCAAACGCCAGGTCCTCCCCTCCAGACCCCCCTCACGTGGGTGGTGGAGAAGGGATCAAACCATGCATGTGAGATGCTTAGCATAATGCCTAGTGCCAGCCAGTGCTCAATAAAAATTAAGTGGCGCAACGGTTGAACACGGATCCCTGGTGGCTCAGTGGTTAAGATCTACGGCTGCAAAGCAAAAGGTCAGCAGTTTGAATCCACCAGCTGCTCCTTGGAAACTCTATGAGTCACAACTGACTCAACAGCAATGGGTTTTTAATGGTTAAATGTTCAGCTGCTAACTGAAAGGTTGGTGGTTTGAACCCACACAGTGGCTCTGGAGGAGAAAGACCTGGAGATCTGCTTCCATAAAGATTACAGCCTAGGAAACCCTATGGGGCAGTTCTACTCTGTTGCATTGGGTTGCTGTGAACCAGAATTGATTGACTCAATGGCACCCAATAGCAACAACTTAACAAATGACTCGTGGGGTCAGGAGTCCCAGAGTGGTGCAAATGGTTAAGTGCTCAACTACTAGCCAAAAGGTTGGCAGTTTGAACCCACCCAGTAGCTGCTACAGAAAAAAGACCTGGCAATCTGCTTCCTAAAGGTCATGGTCTTGAAAACCCTATGGAGTCTACTCTGTACACTTGGGGTCTCCATGGAGTCAGAATTGACTGGAAGGCAACTAACAACAATGATAATGGGGGCAGGGGTGGTTCAGTGCTAGAATTCTCGCCTTCCATTTAGGAGACCTGGGTTCGATTCCTGCCCAATACACCTCATGCACAGTTACTACCTGTCTGTTAGTGGAAGCTCGCAGGTTGCTATGATGTGGAACAGGTTTCAGTGGAGCTTTCAGACTAAGATGGACTAGGAAGAAAGACCTAGCGATCTGCTTCTGAAAATCAGCCAATGAAAACCCTGGGGATGGTGCAGGAGTGGGCATTGTGCATGGGGTCACCATGAGTCGGGAGCTGACTTGACAGCAGCTAACAGAAACAACAATATGAGTAAAAATAAGAATAATAATAATAATTTAATATTTAACTTGCCATCCCCAGATCTTCAAGGACATCTGGCTCTCCTAAAAGTTTTACTAATTTGGAAAAAAAAAAAAAACAATTGCATACCCCTGCGCTGTGGTATTTAACGGGGGTGATTTGGCTATAAGGGGACACTTGACAATGTTTGGGGACATTTTTGGTTGTCACACCTGGAGGGTGCTACTAGCATCTCGTGGGTGGAGGCCAGAGATGCTACTCCACATCCTACAGTGCTTAGGACACCCCTGCCCCGGAGAATGATCCAGCTCCAAATGTGAACATTGCTGAGGTGGAGGGACCCTGCCTTAGAGTTCATGTATTCCAGTCTGAGATGCTCAAAACAAACACTTGTGTAAAAATGGAGCAGCGGCATCAGACTTTGTCTAACTTCACAAGGGGGAGGAGAGAGAAACAAGATCAACATCAGCCCAAGTTTGATCCTTACAAAGTGGAGGTCAGACATACTTTCACCCTCCAACCTTTTTATGAATTCTGACACCAGCCGTCCCTCCCACGGCACTCTCTACTTCTCTACTGGGCTCGATAAATCATTGCAGTGGCCATGCAGAACTCACAGACCATACTCAAAGTTATGGGGTTTGTCAGGGAAGTAACAGGTTACAATTCGAGATCAGATCAACTTGGAAGTAACAGGAACAACTCAGGATACAGTTCTTCGATCAGGACAGCTTCTTCTCAGCTGGTGCCGCTGGGCCATGCGCTCTTAGCTTGGGTCCTTGCTACTGGCCTGGCCTCTGTCCTGCTCGGGCAAGTGTTACAAAGCTCTTTAGCTCTGGCCAACAAGTGCTCGGAAGCACCCCACTCTGCCAGCAAAACTCCTGCCCAAAGGCATTCAGCTCTCTCGCTCCTTGGGCCCAGAAGCCTACTGTAGCCACATTGCTCTGTGGGCCAGGAAGTCCACCTTGCCATCTCAAGCTGGTCTCCTGGTTCTGCTGCTGCTGTTTCTGAGCTGGTGGACTCTGCCATGCTTGCTGCCACTTCTCGCTGTCTTCTTGCCATCTCCATGTTACAGCTCTCTCTCTCCGTCTCCTGGGTCTAGGAGGTTCTCAGCACAGGGACCGTGGGTTCAAAGGATGTGCTCCACTCCTGGCTCTCCTTGATGGTAGTGAGGTCCCCTTACTGCCTTTAAGCCCAGCAGGATGGCAAAACTGACCAATCCCCTCATTAGGATTCCATACACCTTATTTTCATGGTCCCACCCACTCAAGGGTTCCATGTACCTTATTTGCATTATTAGCATGCTCTCCAATCCATTTTGTGGGCCTCATCACCTTACTTGCATAGTCCCACCCAATCATTTTGTGGGAGTCATAAGACCATGGCTAGAAGGGCCATATAAAGTAGTTCACCACACCGCAACTTGCCATTGAGTCGACCCTGACTCATGGCGACCCCGACTCATGGTGACCCCATGTGTGTCAGAGTAGAACTGTGCTCCATAGGGGTTTCAATGGCTGATTTTTTGGAAGTAGATCACCAAGCCTTTCTTCCAAGGCACCTCTGGGTGGACTTGAACCTCCAGTATTTTGGTTAGCAGCCAAGTGTGTTTACTGTTTGCGTCACCCAGCGACTCCCTGAGATGCCGAGGGAGGGCCAAGAAGAGAAGGAACTGTCCACTCAAGGTCATGGTCTATGTCCTAAACCTGGCCTTTATTCTAACTCCCGGCTGCATCCCTCTGCTTGTCTTTGTAGATCAACACTGTCCTCCTCACCTGGACGCTGTGGATCCTGAGGCAGAAGCTTTCCAGAATCAATGCTGAAATCTCAATGCTCAAAGACACCAGGTGCAGACTCTCTTTCCATCCCTTCCCTTTTCTAGTCTTTCTTTTTTCTTCCCATAAATGTTTATTGAGTGCCTTTTGTATGTCTGGTCCTGTGTCCAAGGTTAGAACAGCACAGTGTCTAGAGCTGGAGTCAGACTGGGGCCAAAACCCACCTCTGCCACCTACTAGCTGTGTGACCTTAGGCAAGTTCCGCAACCTCTCTGAGTCTCAACTTCCTCATCTGTTGTTGTTTGTTATTAGGTGCTGTCGAGTCGGTTTCAACTTATGGCAACCCCATGTGACAGAGTAGAACTGCCCCGTAGGATTTTCTAGCCTGTAATGTTTACTGGAGCAGATTGCCAAGTTTTTCTCCTTAGAAGCTGCTGGGTTGGTTTGAATGACTGACCTTTAGGTCAGGGTTGTTGTTAGATGCTGTTGATTCGATTCCTACTCATAGCGACCCATGTGACAGAGTAGAACTGCCTTACAGGGTTTTCTAGGTTGTAATCTTTACAGGAGCAGATTGCCAGGTCTTTCTCCCATGGAACTGCTGGGTGAGTTCGAACTACGGACCTTTCTATTAGCAGCCAAGTGTGTCACCATGCGCCATCAGGGCTCCTCATCTATAAAACCCAAACAACTAGTTGCCGTTGAGTCACCTCTGACTCATAGAGACCCCATGTGTGTTAGTCAAACTGTGCTCCATAGGGTTTTCAATGGCTGATTTTTTGGAAGCAGATCACCAGGCCTTTCTTCTGGGGCTCCTCCAGGTGGATCCGAACGGCCCACTTTTCTGCTGGCAGCCAAGTGCGTAACCATTTTCACCACCCAGGGACTCCCTTCCTCAACTATAGAATGAGGATGTTAATACTGCCCCTTTATGAGGTTTCTGAAGTATTTAGCACAGTGCCTGGGAAGAGTGAGTGCCTCATATATTACAAATATTCATACATTTCCCAGTTTCTCTCCTGTGCTTACTTACAGGTACATATTGTTGTTGTTAGGTGCCAGCAAATCAATTCTGACTCATAGCGACCTAATGTGACAGAGGAGAACTGCCCCATACGGTATCCAAGGCAGTAATATTTGCTGAAGCAGATCGCCAGGCCTTTCTCCTGCGGAACGGCTGGGTGGGCTCAAACCAACGACCTTTTGGTTAGCAGCAGAGTACTTAACCATTGTGCCACCAGTGTTCCTTTATAGATGCATAATTACCCCCCAAAAAGAATAATACTATTTTATTTTTTGCAATCATTTTTTTGTCCTGTTAATGACATGCCATGAATATTCTCCCACTTAAACTAGAAATTCTTTTACAGTATCTTTTTAAAATTATTTTTTGCATTGCATTTCAGTGGAAGGATACAACATAACTTATTTAAATCATCCCTTATCCATCAATATTTAAGTTGTTCCTGTTCTGTTTTGTTTTCTGCTATTATAAACAATACTAAGGAGCCCTGGAGTCACAGTGGTTAACTGGTCAGCTGATAACCAAAGATTGATGGTTTGAACCCACCAGTGGCTCTGTGGGAGCCTGGTGATCTGCTCCTGTAAAGATGACAGCTTAGAAAATCCTATGGGGCAGTCCTCCTCTGTCACATGGGGTCTCTGTGAGTTGAAATCGACTCAACAGCACACAATAACACCAACTTAACAACAGAAAGCAAAATTGCCTTGAATACTCTTATAGGTAAATCTCCCTCCACATCCGTGGTTATTTAATTCTGATAACATTAAGTGCGAAATTGCCTGAATCAAATGGTGATTGGGTTATAATGCTTTTAGTATATACTGCAAATTGTTTTCCAGAAAACTTGTTCCCATTTTTTTGTGGAAGCTACAAAGTTAATGAAGGAATCCGTCAGAATCTGAATGCAGGCAGTCTGACCTTTCAAAGCCTGGCCCTTTCTCATTACAGTGTATTGTCACTCCTATTTTAAAAAATGGCTTCATAGTATTTCATACCCTTCGTTCAAGGTGTCCTATAGTTTGGACATGTGGGTCCTTCTAGTCTTTCGTTACTAGAAACAATATGGAATTAAATGTATGTGTACACACGTCTTCCTCCAGGACAGATTTGTTCGTTATTTGGCGTCCATGGTATATTCAATATTCTTCGCCAACACCACAATTTGAATGCGTCCATTCTTCTTTGGTCTTCCTTTTCCATCGTCCCACTCTTGCATGCATTTGACGCAACAGAAAAGGCCATGGCTTGGGTCAAGTGCACATTAGTCATCAAAGTGACATCTTTGCTTTTGAAGATTTTAAAGAGTCATTTAAAGAATTGTTTTATTTTATTTTTGTTGCTGTTGAAAATACGTTGTTGTTGTTGTTAGGTGCAGTTAAGTCGATTTTCACTCCTAGTGACCCCGTGTGACGGAGCAGAACTGCCCCATAGGGTTTCCTAGGCTGTAATCTTTACAGAAGCAGATCACCAAATCTTTCTCCCAAGGAGCAGCTGGGTGAGTTTGAATCGCTGACATTTCAGTTAGCAGCTGGGCACTTAACCATTGCAGGACCAGAGTTCCTTGTTGAAAATAGACACAGCAAAAAATATACCAATTCAACAATTTCTGCATGTACAATTCAGTGACACTGATGACATTCTTCAAGTTGTGCAACCATTCTCACCCTCCTTTTCCAAATCATTCCTCCCCCATTAACATAAACTCACTGTGCCCTAAGCTTTCTATCTAACCTTTTGAGTTGCTGTTGTCAATTTTTTTTTAAATTGTGCTTTAGGTGAAAGTTTACAGCTCAAGTTAATTTCTCATACAAAAATTTATACACGTATTGTTATGTGACACTAGTTGCAATCCCTATAATGTGACAGCATGCTCCCCCTTTCCACCTTGGGTTTCCTGTGTCCATCCAACCAGTTCCTGTCCCTTCCTGCCTTCTCATCCTGCCTCCTGACAGGAGCTGCCCATTTGGTCTCGTGTATCTACTTGAACTAAGAAGCACACTCTTCACAAGTATTATTTTATGTTTTGTAGTTCAATCTAGTCTGAAGAGTGGGCTTCAGGAATGATTTTAGTTGTGGGTAGACAGAACGTCCAGAAGCCATGGCATCAGGGGTTCCTCCAGTCTCAGTTAGACCATTAAGTCTGGTCTTTTTACGTGAATTTGAGTTCTGCTGCACACTCTTTTCCTGCTCCATCAGGGACTCTGTTGTGTTCCCTGTCAGGACAGTCATTGGTGGTAGCCGGGCACCATCTAGTTCTTCTGGTCTCAGGTTGATGCAGTCTCTGGTTTATATGTGGTCCTTTTGTCTCTTGGGCTAATATTTTCCTTTTGTCTTTGGTGTTCTTCATTCTCCTTTGCTCCAAGTGGGGTGGGACCAATTGATGCATCTTAGACGGCTGCTAGCTAGCTTTTAAGACCCTAGACGCCACTCGCCAAAGTGGGATGCAGAACATTTTCTTAATAAAGTTTGTTATGCCAGTTGACCTAGATGTTACCCAGAACCATGGTCCTCAGACCCCAGCACCTGCTACTCTGTCCCTCAAAGTGGTTGGTTGTGTTCAGGAAACTTCTTAGCTTTTGGTCCAGTTGTGCTGACTTCCTCTGTATTGTGTGTTGTCCTTCCCCTCTCCTAAGATGATTCTTGTCTACTATCTAGTTAGTGAATTCTCCTCTCCCTCCCTCCCCACCCTCGTAACCATCAAAGAATGTTTTCTTCTGTGTTTAAACCTGCTGTTGTCAGTTTGATCCCATATAGCTAGTTCCTAAAAGAGCATGATACTCAAGGCAGACATTCATAAAGAGGTCTTTTGCAGCAGATTTGCCCAATGCAGTGTGTTGTTTGATTTCTTGACTGCTGCTTCCATGGATATTGATTTTGGGTCCAAGTGGAATGAAATCCTTGACAGCTTCAATTTCTTCACCATTTATCATGTTGGAGCCACCTTGACAGCAACAAACAACAACACACATCTTCGTTCCCATGTGTATCTGTAGGTGAAATCCTTTTAAATGCCCATAGGATTAACTTGCCTTGTATATGGCCAGTTGGAGACTCTGGCCTGTGTTTATCCCCACCCAGGTGGTGGGTCACCTGGTGGTGGCCACAGAATGTCTTCCTGGGAGCGTGGCCCACAAGAAAAACACCTGCCTCCCAGAACCTTGTTGTTGTTAGCTAGCTGCCCCCAAGTGGATTCTGACTCATGGCAACCCCATGTGTGCAGAGTAAAACTGCTCCATAGGGTTTTCAAGGTTGTGAACTTTTGGGAGCAGATTGCCAGGTCTTTCTTCTGAGGTGCCTCCGAGTGGGTTCAAATCATCAACCTTTCGGCTAATAGTTGAGCACTTCACCATTTGCACCACCCAGGGAATCCTCCTGGAACCTTATCCTTTGCAAATCTTCTCCCCCAGGTTACTGACATTCAAGGCCTTTGCCCAGCTCTTCATCTTGGGTTGTTCCTGGGTGTTGGGCATTTTCCAGATTGGACCGATAGCCGGTTTCATGGCCTACCTCTTCACCATCATCAACAGCCTGCAGGGGGCCTTCATCTTCCTCATCCACTGTCTGCTCAGCCGCCAGGTAAGTGGCTGCTCCCGCTCCCCGTCCACCCCCCCCCCCGTGGGACGTGCCTGTACAGACCCACGTTCCTGCACCCGGCAGGGACTCATCTCACCGCCAGGTGTCTCCGTCTCCAGGTGCGAGAAGAATACAGGAGGTGGATCATCAGGAAGCCCAAGC